TCTCAAGGTTTGGGTGAAGGCTGCATATAAATAGGTTAATAAACACCAAAATAATATCTAGCTTCTCTCTTCAGTGCAGATAAAATGGCTGGGTTGGGTCAGAAGAGAGGCCTGGATGACAAGAAGCACTGTTTAGTTCAGTGGCTGTGAATGTGCAGTCGTGGTTAGAATCACAGAATGGGGAAGGCACCTCAGAGATCATCTAGTCCCAGGGTAGGCAGCCTTGGCTCTTTTATGACTCGTGGACTTCAACTCCCAGAATTCCTGAGCCAGCATGGCTCAGCTTGGAAACCTCCCTTTCTCCTCAGCATGGCTGGCTCAGGAATTCTGGGAGTTGAAGTCCACGAGTCATAAAAGAGCCAAGGTTGCATACCACTGATGTAGTCCAATGTTCAAATATGGTGGCCAGATGTCTATAGAGTTTCAAATCCTAGGAAAGAGACCAGGACTTGGCAGGAGTTGATGAGAAAGAGATCCGGGTATCTCTCAGAAGATGTAGACCTAGTCTTTATTGCGGGGGTCTTCAAACTTGGCCCTTTTATGACTTTTGGACTTCAACTCCCAGAATTCCTCAGCCAGCGTGCCTGGCTGAGGAATTCTGGGAGTTGAAGTCCACAAGACATAACAGGGCCAAGTTTGAAGACCCCTGCTTTATTGTCCCTCCCTGAAGGCAGGACCAGAAGCAGTAGGTTAAAATTAGAAGTTCAGGCTAGGCATCAGGAAGGTAATTCTTTACTGTATAAACTGTGGAACAGGCTGCCACATGAAGCGGTAAGTTCTCCTTTGGTAGAAGTCTTCAAATGGACAGTGGATGGTCATTTATCAGAAGTTCTAGACAGTGTTTCTCAACCTTAGCCACTTTAAGTTGTGTGGACTTCAACTCCCAGAATTCCCCAGCAAGCATAGCATAGCATAATTCTGGGAGTCAAAGTCCACACAACTCAAAGTTGCAAAGGTTGAGAAACACGCTACTGGTAGACAGCACCACATATGTTTTTTTTTAAAGGTACTTTGATGTCGTGTCCGGGCCACCATCTTGATTTCTTGGGTTTCTTTATAGGCGTCTCTGATTTCCAGCTTTTAGTATTTCATGGTTAGATGTAAACAGCTTCTCTAAATTTGTATCAGATGCTTTATTTCTTCCAAGTCAATGGCCGTCACAGTCTTGAGTAGGTGTCAACTGGAAATGTGTGCACTGGATTTTTGTTGCTATAAATCTTATCCATTGTACAATGAGTGGGTTGTAATTCATAGGTTACCCCTTTGCATTTTTTCCTAGCTGCCTTTAGTTAGTTTTGAGGGCAATGGGAGGATTTCAATGGGTGTCAGATAAGAGGGTTTAGGATTTTTTCCCCCAGTTGACCCATTATCCTCTAAAACTGGTTGTCATTGGTTGATGTGCAACAAATGGAAGACCAAATTATTGCAAGCCCAAAGATCTATTCTCATCTGATCCTCTGCAAGAGAATCTCTGAATTGGATTTAACACAGTATTTGTAAAGTCTTTGTAGGCTCCCCTTAATCAGTATACATGAGCTTGCAATTTCCCATGCACTACATTCAATCAATTGAACCAAAATGCAGTTTTTGAAATTTGCCACCCTATTCAGACATTAGACATACGTACGTCCGATTCTATCCAACCTTAAGGCAAGCAGGGGGTTGGACTAGAAGACCTCCAAGGTCCCTTTGCCACCTATTATTCTCTGTTCTGTGTTAAGGCAATCTTCCTCCAGGGCATCCTCTGTATTATGTCACTCCTAACCAGGATTAACCAAGTTAGGGGTAACATAATCACTCCTAACAAAAACAATCCTAACCAGGATTGTTTTTGAGAGGATGATAGCTTCTTTGGGGTTATTTGTATGAATCTTGGAAAAGCATAAAACTGATTTTGAAAAAAGATGATAGTTAGACTGGACAGCTCTCTGACTGAATGTTTTAATGTGGGTTCCTACTGAGCAGGGGTTGGTCTGGATGGCCTCAAGGACCCCCCTCCAACATTTTGATACTAAGAGTCTCTCCCTCTTTCCCTCTGCCATGCTCCTAACTGTATCTCTCAAGGCTGTTATTTCCAGTTTTAAAATGCAAAGCATATGATTAGACCCATATGTTTAATGCAACTTTTTCCAATTAGCATCCAGATTCATATGTTGACCTTTGACTTCAGCTAATCACTTTGCTGCTGGCTGGGAATTTGTAATCGCAGCATATCCAGAAGACAGGGAAGGGTGCTTTAAGATACAGGTAGTCCTCAACTTACAACAGTTCATTTAGTGACCAGTCAAAGTTACAAAGGCATTAAAAAAAGTGACGTATGGCCGTTTTTTCCACACTTAGGACCTTTGCAACCTCCCCATGGCCATGTGATCCAACTTCAGACGCTTGGCAACTGACTCATATTTATGACGGTTGCAGTGTCCTGGGGCCACGTGATCCCCTTTTGTGACCTTCTGTCAAGCAAAGTCAACAGGGAAGCCTTATTCACTTATCAACCGTGTCACTAACTTAATAGCTGCAGGGATTCAATTAACAACCTTTGCTAACCTGTTGTAAGAAAAGTTGTAAAATGGGGCAAAATTAACAAATGTCTCACTTAGCACCCAGAAATGTAAGTCGAGGACTATTTGTATTATTCATTTAAGATTAAGATTAACAATGGTTATTTAAGATTCAGATTATTTAAGTTACCGTTGTTAATCTTCAATCAAGAGATATATGCTTGCAATCACCATAGCATGCAGTTGTAAATCATCTTAAAGAATACTGTAAGCTACAAACTGTTAGCTAAAGTTGCACTTTTTAAGATTCTACCCAGGTAGGAAAGTAGTAATGACTAAAGCAATGTCTAATCAGCAATTTATCCAGTTGATTTCAGGGCTTTTAGATTGCAAAGCAACCCAGATCCACTGTCCTGGGGAGATTTTGCTTCCTGAAAATAATTCCTCTTGAATATTGGGCTACTTACTTTCAGGTGAAGAAGTCATTCCCAACCTCTCCCGAGTTCCTTTGCCTTCACAAGGTGACCCCTCTTACCTGTCATAAGGTACTTTACTTACACAAAAGCTACTGATTAGCAAAGAAGGGCCCCTCTGTGGAAGGATTTAGATGTTTAAAGGTGGGGAAATGCCCTTTCAACCGTCTGCAGAATTCTAGTGTTGGCCCAAGTAGCCAGTAGGACATTTTAAGCATATGGTTGAAAATGTTGTCCTAGCACAATCTCAGGTTTGGGGAGAAGATTCCAACTTTTAAGGGCACAGTTTTTCTTCTCTCATCTGTCAGCCTGAAAGTCAGCTAGTTGGACTTCATTAATATATGGAAGAGGGACCACTTGGAAAGTCCATGTTGTAGGCTAGGCTGGGAAGTTTTTTTGGGGGAAAGGCAATTACATGCTACTTCCCTGTTGGAAGTGTGGAACTGACAATTCCCTGAGGAGATGACCCAGAGCTGACTTAGAACAGGGCTTTTCAACCAGTGGTACGGATACCACTGGTTGGCACATTGGCACCTGGCAGGTGGTACACGACCATCCTAGAAAAGTGGTAGCGGGGGAGGGGAATGAGCTGAACCGGTGGCAACACCGCACAAGCCTGAGTGAGAGACAGCTGGAGCTGCAGGGCTGTCAGGGCTCAGCGGAAGCACCAGGATCAGCGCCAGGCTCCAGCTGGAGCTTGGCGCTGATCCTGGTGCTTCCGCTGAGCCCTGAAGAAGCGCCGATCAGCTGGAATGTTGCAGCATCTCCAGGGTCTTGTGATTTACATTCAGATGCCTGGCAACTGATTCATATTTATGATGGTCACAGTGTCCCAGGGTAATGTGAAGTGACCAAACCTGCTGCCACCACCCAGCAGATGGGGGGAATAAAAACCAAACACCCCCCACCCCACCCCCGCTGCCAATCCTCAACAGAAAGGCCTCACAACAATGAAAACCTCGGACAGGAGGAAGAGCGCCGCCGGGTGGGCAGGTGTCTTGCTCAGTTGTGGCTTTGGGGGCACTTTTTTCAGTGCCATTGTAACTTCGAACAGTCATTAAGTGAACTGTTGTAAGTTGAGGACTACCTGTACTTTACCACCTTTTTCCTTTTTTTTTTTTTTTTTGGTCATCAAGTTTTTGATACCTTGCTAGGCGACTGGTGATACTCGGATATTGCCATATCCTAAAAGTGGTACAATGGGTGAAAAGGTTGAAAAGCCCTGACTTAGAGAAGATTAAACAGGTAGCATTCAACCAGATGTCTATCCTTTTATTGCCCTGGCCTCTATAAGGAAAAGGAAGAGGAGCTTTATCACGAGAATTATCCTGGTGGAACCAGGTTTCTAAAAGTTGACACTTTTAAACTTAGATTTCATGAGCTCCATTTTTTTTCCTGCCTCTTTGCTGGTTCTAATCCACCTTCCAGATCTAGAACAAGAAGCTAAATAGATTGGTGTTTCTAGTTGGGGGGTCTTGATTTTTCTCTTTTTCCCCTTTCTTTTTTTATTTTTTATTTTATAACAAGTTTTTATTGGTTTTCCAGTTTGACATTTAAGTATTTGGAAAACAGCGTGGTGATTGGTTATCCGGAATTTAAATACTATGGATATTAAAGGTTAAATTGGAATATTCTAATTAAAAATTAAAAATTAGGTCAAATTTAAATACAGGATATGGATATGGATAAGCAAAAATATAAGGATAAATGTTTTAACTGAGATTGTTATAACTAGAAATATGTTAGCTTAAATATGATACAGTAAATGTTAAGGGGAAATAGAGAAGGGATTTTTTGATGATGTAACCTGAGATATGTACTAAAGATTTTGTTATTGTATTATTGACTACCCTTTTTTCCCTTTCCAGGTGCTTGACAATTCCTTTGACTGTAACAGCCCAGAAGTTTAGCCAAACATTTCGTCTTCCTGTTCTGGTCTTTTCCCATCCAAGTTGCTGGCTTGCCTTGACGGAGTCTTGACCACTTGCTTTGATCCAGTGTTGACTGTGCTTTGAAGGACAATAAAATGTACCAGAGTTTGGCACTTGCTCCAAATCCTGGCCAGTCCGCCTACCCCCATGATTCCAGCAATTTTCTGCACTCCCCAGCAAGTCCGGCGGTGTACGTCCCCACCAGTCGAGTTTCCTCCATGCTCCAAAGCCTACCCTACCTGCAAAGCTGTGATCCCACCCACCAAGGCCATCCTCTGGGTGGCCACCCGGGGTGGGGTCAGCCAGCCAGCGCTGAGGCTTCCCACTTCAATGCTGGCAGCCCTCACCCACCGTCCAGTTTTTCCTACACCCACAGCCCTCCTGGGGGAAGCACTGCTGGTCGAGACGGGGGCTACCAAAGTCCACTGTTGCTGGGCGCTGGAGGGCGTGACCAGTACGGCAACACTCTGATGCGCTCTGTCAATGGATCCTACTCCAGCCCGTACCCCGGTGCTTATGTGAACCCAGCGGAGATGCCTCCATCTTGGCCCGCCAGCCATTTTGAGAGCAGCGTTTTGCATAGCCTCCAGACACGACAAGGAGCCTTGCCTGGCCGGAGATCCACGTTCGGTATGTAGCATTTATTTATTTTTCTATTTGTATCCTGCCTTTGTTATTTTTACAAATAGCCTAGCGGCGAATATAGCCAATGCACCTTCCTCCTCCTATTTTCCCCACAATAACAACAACCCTGTGAGGTGGGCTGGGCTAAGAAAGAGGGACTGGTCCAAAGTACTGAGCCAGCTTTCATGTCTAAGGTGAGACTAGAATTCACAGTCTCCTGGTGCTTGGCCCAAAGTCATCCAGCTGCTTTCATGCCTACGGTTGTGAAGGCATGAATTCACAGTCTCCTGGTGTTTGGCTCAAATCACCCAGCCGGCATTCACAGTTAAGATAGGACTCAAACTCATGATCTCCTGCCTGGTGCCTTAACCACTAGACCAGGGGTAGGCAGCCTTGGCTCTTTTATGACTTGTGGACTTCAACTCCCAGAATTCCTGAGCCAGCCATGCTGAGGTGAAAGAGTGAGGTTTCCAAGCTGAGCCATGGTGGCTCAGGAATTCTGGGAGTTGAAGTCCATGAGTCATAAAAGAGCCAAGTGACTAGACCAGGGGTAGTCAACCTTGGCTCTTTTATGACTCGTGGACTTCAACTCCCAAAATTCCTGAGCCAACTAAGCTGGCTCAGGAATTCTGGGAATTGAAGTCCACGAGTCATAAAAGAGCCAAGGTTGCCTACCCCTGGACTAGACCAAACTGGCTCTCCTATCCCCAATTGTGGCAATGCCTCCTGTAATGATTTGCCATCGGTGATTTAGGTCTAAAGAATGGTGTGACAGTAAAGCTTTTTCTGGTAGCCTCTCTTGTAAATCGTGCCATAGTCAGCATTCACAGGGGGCAGTGAGAAGGGTAAGTTAGATTCAGCCAAGAGCTGAAAATGTTTAGGGTTGCCAGGTCTGCTTCCAAAAAATAGTGGACAAGCGGGGAAGGGGGTTAAGTAGTAAAAAAAGTAGACTGTACAGCTTTAGATTATGTACCATTTCATCATAAAGCTTTTAAATAAAAAAAATGTCCACTATTTTGTGAAAAAAAATAGTGAACATAATGTGAAAAAAGTGGACTGTCCACTCAAATAGTGGACACCTGGCAACCCTAAAAATGTTGGATCAATAATTCTGTGCTGGGAAAAGGAAGATCTAGTTCAGAGCAACATCTGTGTTTCACGTGGAAATCCACATTGGGGTAGCTTATCATGATTTTCCTAAAGGGAAAAACTTGTGGAAACAATCTGGGTACAATTGTATTGCTAGTAGAGAACAGACGTATTGAGGGCTAAGTGGTATAGGGTCTCCTGCTCCTGCTTGAGTAGGGGGTTAGACTAGAAGACCTCCAAGATCCCTTCCAGCTCTTAGTTAGTCTGATTGACTGAAATCCTTGTTACAGAGTCAAGTGTTTATCAATTACTTGCAAAAAAGCCTTTTGACTAGAGCCTTTTGGCATCTGGTTGATGTTTTGGAATCTTCTCAGGCACTTAAGTTAATTTAACAAAAGCTCCAAGGTGTGTTTGCCCAGTTTTGTGCTTTATTCAGAAATGGTTTCAAATCTATTGTCTGAATAGTGGCATTACAAAAGGATGAGTTACAACATAAAATATTAATTAAAAGATGGGGAGTCTGGTGGGGGGATAAAATCTAGTTACTCTGTGGAAAAAATGGGCTGCCAATAAATTTAATAAATCATAATAATTGCCAGAACCTTATGTTCCACAATCTTTATCAAAAGCTGCTTGAAGATAAGAAAGTAATTTCTATAACAACTGTAAAGAAAAGTTCTGGCTTGTTCTAATATCAATTGTATAGTGGGATACAGTTCTAGCAGTTAAATTCTGTTATTCTTAGTGTGAAAGTCACTATACAAAAATGGCTGGATGACCTTGAATGTTAACAAAACATTTGCTTAAAATAAGAGCTTAGATAGAAAAGATACTTGCAAACTTGATTTGTAGATTGTGCTAAGCAGTGAGATGTTTAGCAGACAAGAATGACTGGGTTCACACCAAGCAAACAGACAATATTATTTATTTAGCAAATGTGGGAATCTGATTGTCGATATAGCCCAGTATTTCTCACTTGTTAAGTATGGATCAATTGTGTCTGATTCTTCTTTTTTTTTAGAGAATTTTATTGATTTTCTAATTTTACATTTAAATATTTGAAAAGCAACGTGGCAGCTGAGTTGATCAATAATTCAACAACATACAAGTGTATTTAGTACAGATCTCAGAGTATTACATTAAAAATTTCCTCTCTTTTGCCCTTGGTATTTACTGTCTCATATTTAAACTGATATAATTCTTATTACATCGACCACATAAAAATAATTTTCTTACATTTATCAATAATTTTTAATCTATACATATCCCAGTTACTTTAACATTTGATCCTTTTAGACAATCAGTGTCCTAATTAGTTTTTCCCAATTTTTAGTTTCCCATCAATAATCGAATTCAACGTGTCTGATTCTATGTCCATTAGGAATTTTTGATTTTTCTGAGTAACTTCCATGCCAGTGTCCCAGAGGTGCTTTTTCCCCCCAAAAGACAACTGGACTTCTTTGGAGTTTGGTTTTTTTGGGAAAACATTTTGCTTCTCATAGAAGAAGCTTCTCCAGTTCACTAAAGATGAGAAGCAAAATGTTTTCAAAGAAAAAAAACCCAAGAAAGTGCAGTTGCTTTTTGCAAAAAAAAAAAAGCACCTTTGGGATAACCATGACTTGGATGATTGAGACTCTTTTTTATATATATAAAAAGTTTTATTGGTTTTTTCCATTTTTTTCCAGCTTAGGACACAACGTGGTGGTCAGGGTGTCAAGTCATTCAAAGACAAAATCATACAAGTATAGCTCAAATTAATTATCAAAAATTTCCTCTCCGTTTCCTAAATATAATATTGCTTATTAAAATTAATAACAGTTTTAGGTAAAGTTCAATCAAACCAAAATCATCAATCACATGCGATTATAATCTATAACCTGTTTTTAAGCTTTACTAATTACAGTTGTATGTACCGGTAATTGTATTGATTTGAGACTCTTCATAGACACTTTTCGTGCTGGTGTATTTTTCTGTATCGGAGGAGGTATGCATGTATGTTAGTATCTTTTCATGGATGTGATTTTATGAAGCTACACACCCCAACTTAACAGAAATCACAGAATACTACAATGGTCTGGCCTAAAGAGAGACAGGAAAAGCTAAAAGGTTTTAAGTGTGGGCTGGAAACAGACAGGGTCATTTACAGGAAAGTATTTTGAAGACCTTTTAAAGATGAATTCCAAAGGAAGACCAAGTACCCATTAATTAGTTTCTATGCAAAGTGTCCTTGGCCAGACACAGAAATGTAGAATGCTGAGCTTTATTTTCAGAGTTCCCTTTTTTTAAAGAAGGATCTAAGTTTAGTGCCATTAGTTTGCACATCACATGTTGGACAGATGCTGAAAAAAAACAAGGTGCCACCCAGCCATAATTGAACCAAACATGCATTGACTTGAACACGCCTGACCTGTTGCCAAGTGTACTTTGGAGTTTGTGACTTTGAGAGTTGACCTGGGCATGGTGTGTGCACACATCAGCATGCATACCTCATCAGCATAAAATGCCTTTGGATCTCTCCCCACCCCCTTTGCAGAGCCTGTCAAAAAGCCAGCCCAAGTGGGAAATAAGTTATTTAGATAACATTCAGCTCAGCAAAATGTAAACCTTGGGGAAAGGTTTTATGCCTGAGAAGTTAAAGGAATAACAGAGTTGGAAGGGACCTTGGAGGTCATCTAGTCCAACCCCCTGCTCAGGCAGGAAACCCTATACCATTTCAGACAAATGGCTGTCCAGTCTCTTCTTGAAAACTTCCAGTGTTGGAGCATTCACAGCTTCTGGAGGCAGGTTGTTCCACTGATTAATTGTTCTAACTGTCAGGAAGTTTCTCCTTAGTTCTAGGTTGCTTCTCTCCTTGCTTAGTTTCCACCCGTTGCTTCTTGTCCTGCCTTCAGGCGCTTTGGAGAATAGCTTGACTCCCTCTTCTTTGTGGCAGCCCCTGAGATACTGGAATCTCTTCATTAAACTAGACATACCCAAATACTCAAGGGAATGTAATTCCCTTTTCACCCTCCCCATTTTTTTTCTTTTCATTGCCATCAAAGGGACTAGCACCTTACTCTAAGGTAGTAGAGTTTCTCAACCTTGAAGATGTGTGGACTTCAATTCCCAGACTGGATGGGGAATTCTGGGAGTTGAATTCCAGACAAGATGCCAGGGTTGAGATACACTGCTCTATAAACTTGTTCATCTTCCTACCGGAGTGTTAAATGTTCATCCTTTGGTTTAAGACTCATTCAACTTCAACCCTTTGGGAAAAAAAATGGAAATCATTTCAACTGGTAGGAAAATTCATGGAAGAGAGAGCTGATTGAACAGAGGAGCCCAGTTGTAACTGAAGAGTAAGGCTTAACTCCTATTCTGACACCAGTGTTGAAACATCAATTTAAAAAAAAAAAAAAAATCTGTACATTGAAAATGCTTCTTCCAAAGGCTCGGCTATTTTGATTGCTCCCAATTTTAGTTGAAGCTGAGTTCGTTGTTTTAAAAAATTGAAAATCTAAAAGCCAGTACATACTGTAGTTTGGGGAAGATTTTTCTGCTGACTTGTGGAGAGGGCTGTGCATTTAAAGGACTGGGGGGTTTTGGGGGGGGGCAGACGACAAAATGGGAATAGGGTGGGGAAAAAAACTTATAACGGCCTAGTCTTTTTAACTTTCCCCCCTTCTGCCAGCCTATTCTTAACCCTACTTTTATTCCAAATAAAATTCCCTTGACTTTTCCATTGGAAGGGTGGGGGGGAACTAGCTATAATACCGCTGAGCTTTCTTCGGGGCCCCGATTCCTACACCGAATTTCGGTTCTCCAGGGACTAGTGGCTTGGAGGCATTACTTCACTCCCCTTTTTAAACTTGCAAAGTTTAAAAGCAAACTCGTGGTTAGAGAAGGGACTGTTTTCAGGCGAAAGAGAGGCGAGAAAC